CATAGAACAACAGGCATGCAGAGGTGCTGGTGATAAAGTTTAGCCATTACATGTTGTGTTGCAAATATTAATGTTGTAAACCAGAAGTAAAGGGCACAGACTATACTTTAACGAAAAATCTCACAAAGAGAATAAAAACTTCCTCTCCTCTCAAATTAGTGGCTGGACCATATATGATGAAATTTTAGCTAAAATAATGGAGTCCATGATCCTCAGGCAAAAATATTCAAAAGTTGGATATAGCAGCAACTCTATCATTTTACTTATTCTGCAAAAAAAAAAAAAAAGCCCTTAATTTGCAAGAACCCACTTACACTATAGCTATTAAAATTCAGTCTCATAGGACATTGTGATCTTCACAGAAGGAGCAAGTGTGAACTTGAGGAAAGAAGATGAAATTCACCAGCACGAAGGGGGAGGGAGGGGAAGTCAAAGTGTTGTTCTGTTTTTTTTTTTTTTTTTAAGATTTTTTTATTTGTTTGAAATTCAGAGTTACACAGAGAAAGAGGAGAGGCAGAGAGAGAGAGAGAGAGATCTCCCATCCGATGGTTCACTCCCCAAATGGCCTCAATGGCCAATCCAAAGCCAGGAGCCAGGAGCTTCTTCCAGGTCTCCCACGTGGGTGCAGGGGCCCAAGGACTTAGGCCATCTTCTACTGCTTTCCCAGGCCATAGCAGAGAGCTGGATTGGAAGTGGAGCAGCTGGGACTAGCACCTGTGCCCATATGGGATGCCGGTGCTTCAGGCCAGGCGCTAACATGCTGCGCCACAGTGCCAGCCCCGGTTCTGTGGTTTTTACTTGTGTGTGAACCTCAGAAACTTGCTACTTCTGCTCAGGGATACAGAACCTCTGCTCCATGTTGATTTTGAATGCTAGAGATAAATACATATAATCAACACATATTTTCTTAGTCTGTACCTTACGAGACACTGAGCTGACCAAAATATTAAGCACTCCTCCAAAAAGGGTGACATCCTGACTGATGGCAAGGATTTATTTATGAAATAGATTCTTATTCATACGAAAACACACTGCTTGCTATACCTCTGATGTTTGCAATGCTCATAAACATCATTATTATCAAGCTAACTATGTCCCTGTCAGAAAGCCAATGAAAGGTAGACATTAATGGAACGGAGGGGGAACAAAACAGGGCTTTGAAGCTGCACACAGGCACTGCACAGATCAACAGCCAGAAAGGACCCTCGGCAGAATTTTCCATCCAGTTCACAACGTGACCCTTGGAGGCTTTTAACATGAAAGCATTACCCAGTTGCAGAAAATAACAGCTACAACAACAAAGAAGAGGTCAGAGGGATCATCAGATTTATTTCCTATGTGGAACAAAAGGCGCCTTAATTAATGAAAAAGAAGGTAATTCCTTAAAAGTCCAGCCGCAGAGACAAGCACCTCAATGGGCCTGCATGTTAGCCCTTATTAAATGCTGAATTGCTTTAGATTCATCTCTCTGGCAGGCTCGGGTTTGGTAATCCACCCAATTAACGGAGGCCTCTTCAGCAGTGTATTCTTTATTACTTTTGAATCTGTTTCATTTCTTTTGCCTCCTTCGCCCAGTAGAACATGTTCCAACATCACCCATGGTTCTGTTTTCTCCACAGCAGCTCAGTGTAAACCTGGAGGTAGCAGTCAAGTTTGTTCACAGCAGGCTAAGGACGAAAAGCTAAGTTTGAGGGAAGTGACGCAAAACTTGAAAAACGAGGGTAGAACGGAGAGATGCTCTACTTGACCCCAGCTGGGTGGGGCCAACGCTGGCAGAGGTGCCCTGGAAGGCAGGAACACAGCACCCATCTCACCCACACCACTGCATCCATTTGTCCCCTACATATGCCCTGCTCAAGAGGGTCACACAGAAATAGTCTCCGCTGTCACAAAGCATTCTTTTCCCAGCCCTTCCTGGCTACCTTGCCAGGACAGTTTCCTGTTAAACAATATTAGGATTAATTTGCATGTCGGTTCACTGGGAATTAAACTGAGACACCTGTCCTCGAAACCTGGGCTATTCCATGTAAGTCACTAGCTACACATCAGTCAATAACAGGCCACTCATTAAATTCAATATATAGGTGGCCTCAGGATAAGAATCCTCATGCCCTCTTCAGAAATAGCTGTAAGAATGAAATAAATTGTGTCTGACCACACAGCATCTGCAGGAAGATCTTAAAAGCTGAGGCCAGATTTTCTTCTCATGCCTACTAGACTTACGATTATAAATAGCCTCACTTGTAATGAGCTGAGTCAAGAAGGAAGATCCCAGGAAGGTGGGGTCCAGCCTGCTCAGATAGGATGTGGAGAAAATGACTGAACTACTGTCTCCATTCTGTCCATCAACAGAATAGAATATAAGTAACTAAAACACTGCAAGGTGCTGGGTACAATGAAAGCTTCAAGGTCAAGTGTAGCAGGAAGGCATACTTGTGATGAGATCACAGCCCTAACATTAAATACCCATATGTAGGTGAAGGTGTTAAATTGTCTTATGCTTCCATTTCTTCTATTTATTTATTTATTATTATTTTTTTTTTTTTGACAGGCAGAGTGGACAGTGAGAGAGAGAGACAGAGAGAAAGGTCTTCCTTTGCCGTTGGTTCACCCTCCAATGGCCGCGGCAGGCAGGAGCCAGGTGCTTCTCCTGGTCTCCCATGGGGTGCAGGGCCCAAGCACCTGGGCCATCCTCCACTGCACCCCCTGGCCACAGCAGAGAGCTGGCCTGGAAGAGGGGCAATCATGACAGAATCCGGTGCCCCAACCGAGACTAGAACCCGGTGTGCTGTCGCCGCAAGGCGGAGGATTAGCCTAGTGAGCCGCGGCGCCGGCCTCCATTTCTTCTTTTGTAATATCAGAGATGATAATCATATGAAAACCATAGAATGTTCATGAAAATCCAACAGAACAACTCATAGGAAGCTTTAGTGTTTAACAAATGTTAAAAACAAACAAGCAAAATTTCCATCCACAGCAAAATTTCAACTACAACAGATAACGTCAAGTGGTCCCTATTCTAACTTTCTTCACCAAGATACTGCAAAAATCAGTGGAGTAAATAAAAGAAACTATTTTGAATTCTTAAAAAAAGAGTCTGGTAAAATATACCAATTTTTCAGTCAAATTTCTTATTATCACATCGAATTGGATGCTGAAGCTTTGAGTTTCTTACTCCAACTCCTGGGCTTAGAAACCCGTTATAGATCGATCACCCCATGGAAAGGCAGGCCCCGCACTGTAGGAGATGGGAAGGGGAACGGGGCGGGGAAGCGGAAGGATTCTAAAGCTCCCTGCCTTGTGCCTCATTTATGAATGAAAATCTGATCTTTGCTTTACTAGTCAAAGCAGCAAAAATCCTAGAAATGCCCTTCAGTCTCGGGCTTTTCCACACTAGGTGATTGTGCAACCCACTCAGCTGAGCTCCAAGTGTGGAGATGGAGGCCGTGATAGGAAAGACGACTGCAAGAGTTGCACTGAGATCCCATAGTGAACTTTGGAAAGAAACCAAGGAGGAAGCAAAGAAAACTTTCAGCGTCTGTCTAGACTCCGTCTCCCTGGAACTAAACTTCATCTCCCAGGGCAATTGCAAGACGGTGATAATTAGGATTAGCTACAAGGCTGCTATCTGCCAACTCTAGCTCATCACCAGCCTTCACTTGCCCACATCTCTCTCATGCCACCATCCGCGTTTCAACGGCTGAAGATAATGAGGCGGAGAAACTGGTTAGCAGACCGTATCAGAGGCAGCTGTGCACCTGTGCGGGGCTCCATCGCAAAGTCTGAGCAATCAGTGGCGAGAAAGTGACAAGTGATTTTAGACTGTCTTCTGCTAATCACTCACACTAGCTAATCATTAATGACACCTCAGTGAGTAGTGATATTTAGAATGAAAAGTTTTAAAAAAAATGTAAGTTGCCCACTTAACCATCATGGGAAAGGGCCATTCTGGATGCAACTGAGAAAAGGGCTCCTAGTGAAATATCGATATCAAAAATAGTGAAAATGATTTTCTTTTTTTTGACAAGCAGAGTGGACAGTGAGAGAGAGAGACAGAGAGAAAGGTCTTCCTTTGCCGTTGGTTCACCCTCCAATGGCCGCGGCGGCCGGCCCGCTGCAGCCGGTGCACCGCGCTGATCCGAAGCCAGGAGCTAGGTGCTTCTCCTGGTCTCCCATGGGGTGCAGGGCCCAAGCACTTGGGCCATCCTCCACTGCACTTCCTGGCCATAGCAGAGAGCTGGCCTGGAAGAGGGGCAACCGGGACAGAATGCGGCGCCCCGACCGGAACTAGAACCTTGTGTGCCAGCGCTGCAAGGCGGAGGATTAGCCTAGTGAGCCGCGGCGCTGGCCGAAAATGATTTTCAATAAGTCTCTTTGATCTTGCCTAAGTGGGAGTGCCACCTCATGTGTAGCATTCAAGAGCACTTTATGTAGATGAATTTTATAGAATAGATTGTATTTTTTTTAAGAATTACTTTATATGAAAGGCGGAGAGGGAGAGGGAGAGAGAGAGAGAAATCTCCTACCTGCTGGTTCACTCCCCAAATGGCTTCAATAGCCTGTGGTGGGCCAGGCCAAAGCCAGGAGCCAGGAGCTCCATCCAGGTCACCCACGTGATGAAGAGGGGCCCAAGCACTTGGGCCATCAAGTGCTGTCTTCCCAGGTAAACTAGCAGGGAGCTGGATTGGAAGCAGAGTAGCTGGGACTGAAACCAGCATTCTGATATGGGATACAGGCATTGCAGACAGCAGCTTACCCACCATACCACAATGCTGGCCCCTTAACGCATAATTGTAATATTTTAGAAAACAGAATAATTCTACACAAAGGGTGAGGACACAATTAAAAGGTGATGAAAAGCAAAACAATCGGTAAATATGTGTAATAGCAGAGGTGTTCACGGCTATGGCAAAAACCTAAGAGGATGGCATGTCAGACTCGGGCTGAGATGTGGTGGCATTTAGGTGAGAGGGAACGTTAAGCGTGGGAACGACCCCTACCTTGGGCACAGTCTTCACGCGGAACAGGATGTTTTGGAAGGAGTGTCCGTCGCTGACTTGCAGGACTGCAGCATCAGAGGTGCTCTCTGAGCCATCATGGGCGTAGTGGAGAAGACCTCTGGAGAGTTCATCCAGCCGGAATTGATAGAGAGGGCTGGCAGGGGATTGACGGGTTTGGAGCAACTGGCCATGAAGTGGAGGATCCAACACTTCGACTACCACATCCTGCGGGTTGTCATCATCTCGGATGTCAAGTAGCCGGGTGGTGATGGTTGCCCGCTGTCCTCTGCTAACGTGGAGAACCTCGTTTCTCAGCACGTAGGGGGCCTGCCAAGTGCAAGCAAGGAGGCCATGGAGAGTCATTTAATAGGAAAGAGAGGGTAGCCAGGGGACTAGGAACGAGGGGCTGCAACCTGATGTATCTATGCTTTGTAAGCAATCCAGGTGCTCTAGCAAAATGCCAAACTGTTCCAGCGTTTGCCAGAGGTGGGTTAGACGTAGTAATCACAGCAACTGAGGTCACATCATCCCTCTGGGTTCTAGAGGCTTCTCAAGCTACTGAACGACACGGATGAGAGGCACTCTGCGATCTTGATTTACATCACATCCCCATCATTCTAAGTCAGATTAGCTCCGTGGCAGGAAACCCATCCAAGAGGTACTAATAAGAGGTGGAATTTTTGGACTTGTGTTCAGGAGTGACACTGCAGTGCAGCCTGCTGATCTAGTGTAAGATATGAGAGGGCTTCAAAGAGTGCGTGGAAACATAGGATTAAAAAATACCCTTTTTTAGCTGCCAAGAAACCTTTGAAATTCATGCTTATGACGGATCTCTAAAAAGTTCACGGAGAATGTATATTATGAAAAAATTATGCATGATTTCAAAGGATTTTTTTGGAAGGAAAAAAAGTTATCTTTTAACTCCATTTTTTTCACTAACTTTTTGAAGTAGCTTTATACTTCTGCATCCAGAATTTACTCTAGTTCTGGTCCTTCCAATGATTTTTTCAAGCTCTCTTAGCCAGATCTTGCTAGAGTGTCACCTTAACTCAGTAAAGAAAGCCTGACAAGACCATGGTCTGGGTGAGAAAGGCAATGACCTGGTTAATTCACGTGGTCCTGCTAGTTTAGCAAAATTGGATGTTTTCCTTGGGATTGTCACATTTCCCACTGCCAACTTGAGTAAGCAAATAAAATGTCTTAAAGATAAAAGTTAGTGAACCCTAATATAAAAATACTTACCAGAAAAGAAAAAATCAAAACTAGAAGCCAAAAAAAACATTCTTAGTATTTTTATCATTTGACATTGAACCTTCTAGAACTTTCTCAACACACTGCCTTCTTTAATCCAAAAGGCTTTCTTTCTTTTAAGCTTTGCCCCCCCCCCCCACTGCCTTCTGGAAATTACAATCTGCATTAAAGTAATACATCATTATAATAATCACCATCATAATAATAGTGGGAAATTAAAAGGTAGCTACTCCTCAGAATTCCCAAGTGAGTATTCTAAAGCTGTGATTTTATCCATGGAAGTGAAAAGTTCCTCATATTCTGAAAGAGGGAAGATCAAAGGGGATGTGAAAATCCACAAATGGAAAAAACCAAATTATCTTACATGAGAAAAGTCTCAGGGAGGCCCAAGACCACAAAAGGAACAAAAATAAGATTGAATTCTTTTCTCAAATTCCACTTTTAAAAACCCAAAATAACAGTTTTTCACACAATATAATTTCAAAATGCCCTCATTATTCACTCACTTGGTTATGGGAAAACAAGTAAGCACACTCAGGGAACCATGGGAAGTGACCGTCTCAGATTAAGAAGTTACTTGCCCAATATCCAGATTGGTCATTGGAGTAGCTCCATTAGCCCAACAAAAAGGACAAAACATGACTTCTGAGTTGCAACTAAATCCTTAAGCCCTAAGATTGAATGTTGGCTTATGGCCTGTATTCATGGAGATCACATGTTTCAGCTTCAATTAAAACAAACATGCATACACTTTGCCTATCAGTGAGATCAAATTAACTGAGGATCGATTTCTAATTATTCCTAAACTCCAAGTTGTTCCTGATGCCATGACACCGTCCAGAGTTCAGCTGGGTTACAAATACCATTTGGCAGCCATTTCTGGTTCAAGTCTACATCGCTATCCACAGGATCTTTTCATTGTTGGACCAAAGAGATAAAAGTACCAGTTCAAAAATGATAACCACGCATCCTCCCTTGAAACATGGCCAACACAGTTATCATGTGGAACTGCAGGCGTCTTGGTGGCCCAAGGTGCTGTCCCTGACTAAGATCCTCTAACTGCTATAAATTCCACCCTCCGGAGAGAGAAATATTTAGTTAACACTCATTTACTTAGAGTAAGGAAAGTGTTAACACCTGGAACCGCTACAAATCATTCTCAATCACTAGTATCAGATTTGATATAGTAAATTAAGGTACCACACTGTGATGAGCTGGAACAAAGGCTTTGTAGGCAGATCCACTGGGCACACACCTTGCGTCTCTATCACCACTGACAGGATACTCAACCTCCCTGGAGTAGTTTCCTCATCTGTGGGATAACAGCGCCTCACAAGGTTGGCCTGAGGATCAGCTGAGTGATTTAGGTGAAACACTAAGGGTACTACAGAGGTGTCAGTATCATTGTTGCTGCTGTTATACCTGGAAGTACTGAAGATTACTCCAATGGCATTTCAAGAGGAAACCAAGACAGGATGAATTCAGCTCAGCTGTTATTCTAAAACTGCAAGAAAATCTTGATTTGTGCCTGAGAATGTGAAATTATTAGTTGCTTGACATTTTGATTACCTGGGTTGAAAATGCTTGTATGTTGATCAGTTGTGGCTCAGAGAAGAACTGCTGGTCACTAATTTTCAGTGAAAAGTAACCTTTCCTAAAGAAGTCCCCAAAAAAGGAAAAATACAATCATTAAATTAGTCTTTAGAAAGATAGGGATTAAAAAGATTTTTAGGTCATGTGTAAGCAAGGATTTAGATCAAGCCACTACATGGGGTTGTGGCGTAGTGGGTAAAGCCGCCTCCTGCAGTGCCAGCATCCCATATAGGCGCTGATTTGAGACCCGGCTGCTCCACTTCTGATCCAGCTCTCTGCTATGGCCTGGGAAAGCAGTGGAGGATGGCCCAAGTGCTTAGGCCCCTGCATCCGAGTGGGGGATCTGGAAGAAGCTCCTGACTCCTGGCTTTAGATCGGCACAGCTCTGGCCGTTGCAGCCATCTGGGGAGTGAATCAGCAGATGCAAGACCTCTCTCTCTCTGCATCTCCTCCTCTCTGTGTGTAACTCTGCCTTTTAAATAAATAAATGAATAAATCTTTTTTTAAAAAAAGCCACTACAGTATAACATGTATACTTGCAGTATAACATGTATACTGCAAGTAAAATTACCATAGATTGATATGTTGAGAGCAGGCTAAAAATACCATGTGGTCTCAGGTCTCCTGGTAACATCATAATAATCATTATTTAACCCCTTTATTTCCTACTTTCTAACCTGAACGGATAAAAGCCTGAAAAATCAGTTGCCAGGTCAAGAAAGATTAATAATACAAGTGATCTTCAGAAAGTTCAGAGAAAATGCACATTATGAAAAAAAAAACTACACATGGATTTCAAATATTTTTTGTTTTAAAATAAACTCATCTTTTAATTCCATTTTGCATGACCTTTTTGCAGTACCTTCCTACAGTGCAGGCTAATGGTAAAATTGTGGAATAGAAAGAAATCTTCTATACTGTGTGATGGGTTCTGCATGCTCCCCTCCTCAACTCCTGCCCAATTCATCAGGGCCCCTTGTAATGGCCACGCTGCATGACCCTATCTATCTCCCCCCACCCCACCCTCACCCATATGCTTTGTGGACGAGACCAGGGAAGGATGGCTGAGTCCGCCCTGGAAATTTGGAAGAAACCTGAACACCAGCAGTCAGTCTCACTATTTGACTGTGGGCAACCAGAGTCTATCATGTTGGTGAGAAAGTGGAATAAACTTGTCTACAGGAGAAAAGCGCATGAAGCCCATGAGCAAAGAAACCCAGGGATCAGAGAAGAGTTAGGTCCTGCTTCCCATTTCTGCTTCTAGCTTCCAGACTTGTCCTGGGGCACAAGTGCCCTTGATGGCTTTGAGCTCTGAGCCACCCCTACAATATTCTAACAAGCCTTATCTAACACCTGACCTAACACAAGCAGACTTGTATTCCTTGCAACCTAAGAGTCCCACCTAGTAGCGAAGTAAGCCTCACTCTTTGCTAAGGCTTCCCTTTGTATAAAAGGGTATTCTCCCAGCAGCTTTAAAGACTGTAAGAACGGAAGGGAAGAGAAGTCCACCTTCAAAGTCAAACGAAGCAGTGATGCTGGCAGGTAAGGTGTGTGATTGATGCATTCCGGGGACTTCGGAATCCTGGTCTATTATAGGGACTACAGTTAGAAAGTTTCTTTCAAAGGTGTTCTTGGAACTTTTGACTTTAGTCTGAAAGGATGTGGATGGATCGCAAAAGTGTTACAGCAAAAGCCAGAAACAAAAGACTATATACATACACATGGCACTTTACAAAGAGCAAAACTACAGGGATAAAAAACAGATCTGTACTTACCAGGGGCAGGGTGGAAGGAAGCAACCATAACAAGATTTGGGGAGTGATGGGACTGCTTTATATCTTGTCTGCAGTTATGATCACAGCTGTAAGGCTGTTAATACTCACAGAACACCATACTTTCAAATGGCGAATTTTACTGAATGGGAATTATACCTTAATAAACCTGATTTTTTTTTAAATAAAAAGGCATTCTTGACTCTTTCCTCCCAGTCCAACCTCCCCTTTATTTTCTGCCCCATTTAAATCCTGCCTCTCTTCCCCTTGCTCCATGCTTCAAGAGAATACGACTGGTGGATGTGACAGGATGAACAAGAGGGGGTGATTACTCTCAATCTACCTGGGAAAAATGGTATTTGGTGACCCTGAGGCTCCAATAACAGTGTTCAGCACCTCAGCAGGGCCAGCTAATCGCAGGCATCACAACTGCATTTACAGGTTCCTGTTACTCCACAGGAGCATTCTAATCCCAAAGGAATCCAGTCCTAAAGGATTCCAATCCTGGGGACATGGCCAGTGTTTTCATGGAACAAAACCAAATCAAAACACAAAAGTAGATGGCAGCTGTTTTTTTTTTTTTTTTTTTGCATTATTCAGAGACTTAAATAATTTCACGAATTTCTGCCAACTTCATTTTACTATTCCTCTTATCCGTTCTTTTGTTTGTATTTTTAGTTTTAAAAACATCCATTATTAAAATGGGAATCCCCAAAAGGAGTTCCAGAAGAATTTCCTAAACTATGTCCAGTTTAGGGGAGCAAAACTACGATTCTGCCAGAACCCAGGTGATGAGAGGTTTAAGATGTGAACTAGACAAGAGGTTAGCTTTGGTTGTCTACAGAGGTTTATGCTTTTCCCAAGAGATTCCAGGACAAATGACCATAGGCAGCAAACTGCAGAACTGTATGTGTGAGTGAGTGATTGAGTGATTGAGTGATTGAGAGAGAGAGAGAGAGAGACTAAGAAGTATATTTAGAACAGAAATGAATGCAGGAGAGGGAGCAGGACCTTGAAGACTGAGTTGATGGCAGCTGATGCCAGACTCTAAGCTCCAAGTCTGCAGCAAGATGTACTCCTCTGTGCAGTAAACTCTGTCTCACGATGGTGGAAGCAAGGTTATGGCTCCTACTGTATTAGGAGGCAGAACCCACTGTGGCTAAAGGCATAGGTGGTGGAACCAGAGAGGCTGGACTGGAGTCTCAGCTCTGTGCTCAGGTCAAGAGGTCTTAGGACAAAACTACTTAGAGTCTTGAAGGCCTCTGTTTCCTGATCTGCAGCCTGGGAAAATAACATATATAATGCATGTGCTTAACAGAACACCTGGCTCAAATTCACTCAGTAAGTGTTCCTTTTTTTTCCAACAATATGACCACGTGAGGTTATTGGCATCATCAGCCTTGAACTTCTTGAAGAAGTGTCATCACCTTTTCTCCCACTGTCTGCAAGTCCAAACTTCAAAACAAAAACAAACACACACACACAATTAAAAAAAAAAAAAAAACACCAAAACCTTCCAGTTCAGAGAATGCTCCTACGTGGGAAGTAGGATACACAGCAGACTCATAGAATGGCAAATGCCCTCAACAGCACTCTGGCCTCAGAATCAGCCCTTAAGGCATTCAGATCTGCTAAAAAGCCCATGAGAGTTTCGCAGGCATGGAAAGCCAAGACATTGTGGCAAAAAAAAAAAAAAAAAAAAAAATTACCTAAATGAAAGATCTCTGTGAGTGAGATCCCAGTGGAAAGAACTGGCCATCAAAGAAGGCAGTACCTTTCTCTGAAGGGAAGAGAACTTCCACTTTGACTATGACCTTGTCTAAATAAGATCAGAGTTTGTGAACTCAAGAGGCTTCCATAGCCTTGGCAGCTCATGACAAGAGCCTCAGGCTATTACTGAGGTCATAAATAAGAGTGTTAATTGTTAAATCAACAACAGGAGTCACTGTGCACCAGCTCTGTATGTATGACCTCTGTCCTTAATGTGTTATACTATGTGAATTAATGGTAAAACTAGTACTCAAACAGTACTTTACACTTGGTGTGTCTGTGTGGGTGCAGTCTGTTGAAATCTTTACTTAGTATATACTAAGTTGATCTTCTGTATATAAAGAGAATTGAAAATGAATCTTGATGAAGAACGGGATGGGAGAGGGAGTGGGAGATGGGATGGCTGTGGTTGGGAGGGAGGTTATGGGGGGGAAAGCCACTATAATCCAAAAGTTGTACTTTGGAAATTTATATTGACTAAATAAAAGTTGAAAAGAAAAAAAAAAAAACCCTCCAGTCCAGTGTTTGGAAAATATCTGGTGTCCTCACCACTGTTCCAAGGCTTTGAAATTCCTGGTCTACTCCCGGAGTCTACACTGAATTATCTGCACTAATGACGAAGAGCAGGGCGAAGGCTGGCCCCGAGGCTCATCTCTGGGGCACTCTCTCCTTTCTGCACAGGAGATTTACTCGGCTAATTACAGGGCTGCATGGGCTTGGGTTTGTGCAAGCCATCAGCTGCATTCCTGAAGCATACGTCAGTTGGGGTGGAGAGACAGCCAGAAGTGTGCAAAGCATCAGTGGAAAACTGGATCAGGCTTAAAAATTAACCACAATTAATCCTATAATGTGGATAATAAAAAAAAGTTAACTCTGACTCTAAGTTTCCTTCCAAATCTGCAGTTCTATAGGGACCATAAAACACCTTGAAAAGCACGTGCTCTCCTTTATCCACCCCACCGCCGGCTCCCTGCATATTACTCTCACGTGGAGGAAGCAGCTGTGGCGTTTGGTTTTGCTTCTGCCTGGCAAAAACCTGGGTAATTACACTAGGACTTTTCCTGTCACATCAGAGAATTACCCATAATTATGTGATAAAATGAAAATGCCTTGAACAGAAGCACACTCTCCGAGCAATTAGGGGGAAATGATGACAGACAGCTGAAAGCGTTCATGGGGTATCGATCGTCCGCAGGGAAGGGACAGTTGCTGAGCGAGGCTGAGAGAGGGGCCAGGGCGACGAAGCAAAGAGGGCGGGAGGAACAGAACCTGACTCACCTGAGTTTGTCCTTGCTGTGCAGAAAGCGCACTTTCTTCTCGTTCACATCTTGCCAGCTAAAATGGCCAGCCTTGTCCAGCTGGGCCTCTTTTCCATTTCTTGCGAGCACCAGCTGCCCATTGGTGGGAGTGCTCACTACGTGGAACAGGAGGTCCTGCACCCTGCCCTCCTGGTGCTGCACATTCAGGAGGGAAAAGTCCAGCGCCTTCATTGAGCCAATGGCCAGGGCCAGGGAACCATTCACGTGAAGACTGGGGGTGTGCACCTTGCCTGGAAAACATGGGAATCTCAAGGTCAGGCTGGACCTGTTCCCTTTTTTTTTTTTTTTTCAACAAAGAGCAGACTTGTAAATTGAATTCAGAACTACAGAAGAGATTCTAGGTGACTGTGTACCATAAGCCTCCTTCTAACCTCCTTCTAACCCAGTAGCTATCACCTGGATGCACATGAAGAAACAGAACTTCAATGGAGGAGTTAAGCTATAAAACCCTTAGCAGAAAATACAATAGATGAGTGTGATCTTGAATTGAGCAATACTTCTTAAGCTATGAAATAAAAAGCACAATGACAAAAGAAAAAACATGGCCTGAACTTCTTCAAAATTAAAAAATTTTGCCATTCAATGAATACCAGTAAGAAGGTGAAAAAAAAATCTACAGAAAGAAAATATTTCCAAATCATAAATCTAAAAAAGGACTTGTGTTCATGTATATAAAGAACTTCTTTAACATAACAATAAGAATTTCTTCTTCCTTTTTTTTTTTTTTGACAGGCAGAGTAGACAGTGAGAGAGAGAGACAGAGAGAAAGGTCTTCCTTTTGCTGTTGGTTCACCCTCTAATGGCCGCTGCGCTGTGGCCAGTGCACCACGCTGATCCGAAGGCAGGAGCCAGGTGCTTCTCCTGGTCTCCCATCGGGTGCAGGGCCCAAGTACTTGGGCCATCCTCCACTGCACTCCTGGGCCACAACAGGGAGCTGGCCTGGAAGAGGAGCAACTGGGACAGAATCCGGCGCCCCGAACGGGACTAGAACCCAGTGTGCCGGCACCACAAGGCGGAGGATTAGCCTATTGAGCCGCAGCGCCAGCCCAACAATAAGAACTTCTATCAAGCAACAACAGTTTAAAAAATGGGTAGATTTTGAATAGGCATTTCTCTAGAGAAATACAAAAGGCCAATAAGCCCATGAAAAGATGAACTGTATCATGAGTCATAGGGAAGTGCAGATCAAAATCATAATCAGCTATCACTTCACTTCTTGGGCAGAGAATGCACAGTGTTGGTGAGGCTATGGAGAAACTGCACCTTCACAACACTGCTGGTGGCAGTGTAAAATGGTGTAGTTATTTAAGAAAATAGCTGGGTAGATCCTCCGATCATAAGAGTTTAAACATAGAGTCACCAAGTGATGCGGCAATAGCACTCCTAGGTATACAGCCACAAGGACTGAAAATACATGCCTACACAAAAACCTGCACGTGACTGTTCATAGCAGCCTTATGCACGATAGTCAAAAAGTAGAAATAACCCACATGTCCGTCAGTTGAAATATAGATTAATATGTCAAATACTCATATGATGGAATATTATTTACCCATAAGAAGAAAAGAGAATGAAGCACTGATACCATAGAGAGGAATCTTGAAAATACTGTGCTAAGAAAAAGAAGTCAGTGCAAGGCCTTGTACGGTCATTTCTGTGAAAAGTCTAGAATAGGCAAATCCGTAGAGATGGGAAATAGATTCGTGGTTGCTGAGAGCCGAGATGAGTGGGAATGGGTAGAGATGGTTAACGGTTATAGGATTTCTTTTCAGGATGATAGAAATGGTCTGGAATCAGATTTTTCTGATATCTGCACTACTCTATGAGTGTATCACAAACCAATAAACTAGTCATTTTATGGTATGTGAATTAAATGCCAGTAGTAAAAGAATCACACAGGGGGGTTTTCAAAACAATACTGATGCTCCAGCTCTACCACCAGAGCATCCTGAATGCTCAGGGATGGGACTCGATTAACTTTACAAACTCCCTGGGTACTCCTGCTAGGCTGCCAGCTTTGAGCACCACAATCTCCCAGTCTAAGATGCCTGACACATCAGACTCAGTGAGGGTAAGAAGAGAGGCAAGTGTGTGATGCGACTTCCTAGAAGTGTACCAGTTAACCTACAATGAAGGATGATTCACAGTGGCTCCTGGTCCCATGCATGTGACATACAGACACTCCAACTTAAAATTTTATCATCTCTGTCTGCTATGGTTTTGAGTCTCAAAAGTCTTACAGGTACTAAGAAGGTGGAAACTTAATACAAGATGGTGTTTAGAGGCGGGCCTTTGGGAAGTGATGAGATTGTATCGGGTCAGTAGGGTGGAGCCCCCATGACTGGATCCGGGTGGCTTTATGAAAAGGTCGTGGAGGCACAGTACTCGCTGCGATGCCCTGTGCCTTTGGGCTCTGTTAGCAGGAACACCATTGTCAGAGGCAGAAGCAATAGGGGCCACCTGATCCTCCCTGTGAACCACTATTATTTATAGTTAGCCTGCCTCAGGTATCTGGTTATAGTGATGAAAAACTGACTAATGCACTGTGCATATGAAACACTGACACAGGAATTAGGATCGCCTTTGTGGTGCAGAATTCATCCTGTCTCCTGCAACTTGCTTTGCCTGGACTTTCATTAGCCACATTGTCTTCCACAGCTATGGCAGATGGGACGGTTTGGGAATACCAGATCTCACAAGGACTAATTCTGCTGCCAGATTCTGGTAATGCAAGTGACATCATTTTCACCATTTGACTTGTATTATATCCCAGGAAGGGAAACTTGACTTTCAAGTACTTGGTTTCCAGAGACCAACAAAGTAAGTCAAAGATTTTTGCTTTGCCTTAGAAAAATCTTATTATTGTTAGAGGCCAGAAATATAGACAGAAAATGATTGACTGTGGGTGTTAAAAATGCTGCATGTTATTGATCAATAATAAACAAGGAACCCTCAGCCATAATATTAGTTCCAAGATTCAGCCACCCATGAAACATTTTGGCTCAAAATTATTATCAAATTGAAATGTGCTTCTCTTTGCTGTTCAAGAAGTGTGTCCATTAATGTATTGCAAGGGACTAACTCCATTCCTTTAACGTGTTAATGCTATTTTTAATGGCAAACTGAAGTCCCGACATCCATTCATTTCAAACATGTGAACCTAATGGGGCAAGCACCTCATACTATTTGCTATTCAGTTATAATTTATCTCCACCGCGTGCAAAATGGACGCACCATTGCACTTTGACATAATTAGCTCTACAAGTCGACGTAAACAAATTCATTATGTGATGGGTTCTCCAAACGTTCACACAAAGTGCATATTATGAAGAAACTGTGCAAGGACTTGAAAATACTTTGCACCACAATAAATTTATTTATTCTATTTCCCACAAGCTTACTGGAGTTCCCTTGTATATGTAAATATGTGAGTAATGTTCAAAAACGTGGCTGTAGTTCAGAACATAACAAAGTTTATACAAAATTCCTTATCTGAGAGTTGTGACTTTTAAAGCACAGATTGCTTCTTTTTCCCTTCCAAAGATTATAGAGATTGAATTTTCTTAATTTCCCGTGGCCTATAAATAGTCCCATGTTCCTTATAGCATCAGGGGTTTCCTGGAAACAGGAATACTGCATTTTATATCCTAGGAGTCAATTATATCCACAAACTCACCCTATGCTGAGAAATTAGCAGTCAATTCACCAGCCCATCAGAGGTGTGCACTTACCAGCACATGTTTCATTAGAGGAGTGGGCAGAGAAGTCAGGAACGCAGCTGGAAACACAGAGGCCACTCCGCAGAGAGAACCCATGGTCACAGACATGACATCGGTCCCCACGGCTGCACTGCAAGCACGCCCGAGGGCAGGCTGTCCAAGAGAGGATGCAGCAGATGAGGCATAGCCAAGGCACAGACACCCAGTTAGCACCAGCAGGGACACAGAAATAAAACGATGGCAACCCAAAGGGCTTGAGCACGGGCAACAAATGATCCTCAGCTGTAACAAGAGACACTTCTCACGGCTTTCCCATAGCTGCACAGGTTTCTGCTCCATCCTCAAAGACAACCTGGGCAGAGCAGAAGACTCCTTGTTGTATACGCTGCAATTTAAGATTTTGCACATGGATGGATTGTTTAAAAAGCTAACTACACGGATGTGTAAGAGAGAACATTTACAGTGAGCAGGCCTCTTTCTGGGTACCATTCACCCCTCCTTACCAGCTGTTGAGCTAGAGCAAGTTATCCAGACATTCTGTCTTGCAATTTTCTTGTCTTAGAAATGAGGATGATAATAGCACCTAACGCAAATAATTGTTGGGAAGATTATATTGTGTTATAGTGTGAAGTGACTAGAACAGTGTGGATGGCTCAACTGATCCGGCACTGCCACGATCATCCTTAGGACTGTTGTTATCCTTAGCAGCAGCACTTGAAGTGCAAAGAGAGAGCCAGCTATTTAAAGGAATACAGGATTATTTCTTTGGGTCAAGTTAATAATCTTCTGAGTTGCAGGTTGACTGCCTAATTTTTCTGCTTTCTTCCTAGAGATTTTGTAATAGAGAAACTTCATGATATATTTTTAATGGCCCTGGACTGGATTCAGAAGATTTAGGTTTAATATCTGATTGAACTTGATTCATACTTTTAAATATCTCTCTCAGCCTCTTGTGAAACAGAATTCCTAGTGACTGCTGTATTTTATTGAGTCATTGTGATTATTAAATGAGGTAATACAGATGAAAAAAGTCTGGTAAAATGTAAAATGCTATGTCTGGTCAGTGGCATTATTATTAAAGAGCAAGTGTTCTTTCATGTGGGGCACAAAGTACCGAGCTTTTCTACAAATGATGAGAACAAATTGGGGATACTCTCCTAGATGATGGGGGACAAGGAGATTAAGACCTTGGGTTTAACTTCAGTTTAATTCAAAGAAGCTATGGTGTATCTCACTAAATTGTGCCCAAAAACCTCATTCTTCACGGATTTTATGCCAATATGAGGGCCACAGGTGATTTAAGCTATACACTGAAAAGCCTATGTTCATATCAATAAGGCTGATCCACTCTTAATCACAGCAGTTCAATGTGAGCCTTACATTCCATAAAATATTAGCTTTGTTTCCATAAAGACCTTGGGGACAATATTGATTTGTACAACAAAATTATTGACTGATGCTCCTACATCCTATTTAACCAGCACGTGGCAGACGTGATGGGAGCCATCAATAACCTGGCCAACCTCCTGGATTTTCACTCTGCTTCTCACTCAGGTGCTCCTGGCTGCCTGCGGATCAGCACAGGCGCCTTGCACGCTGCCCTTGCTTCTTCCCAGCATCCTCAGCACAGTGCCCAAGTTACCTGTACACTGGTGTTTTGTGTGATCTGCAAAATAGCCCTTCCCACAGTCCTGGACACAATGGGCTTCCAGAAGGAGAAACGGCCCTTCACAGCGGGTGCACTCATGAGGACCTTGGCACTGGAGACAGTGGCTGTCACAGCCTGAAAGACAGAAGTCAGCTCAACAGGCCTTGCAGGAAGCAGCTAGGCGGGAAGCAGCAATGCAGGCTGGGGTTCTGGGTAGGGCGCCCTGCCAGGAAGCCAGGGGCCAGGGTTCTGATCCTAACCACGACACTTACCAAGAAGGAAACTTAGGATTAGTCACTCCACCTCCCTGGGTCCCAGCGATCTCCCCTTAAAATGGGAGTAGAAATCCTGTCCCACCCAGATCCCTGGTTGAAGACCAAATTAAATAACAGAAAATGCTAGATAAATTGTCAAATGATTGACAGGTATTAGTGATTATTGTTATTATTCCCTAGTGCTTCTGTTGAGGGTGGATCTCACCTGACCCATGGAATCAGTTATCTTCATCCCCCAGAAATGTTCTCTTTGTACCTTCAGCAGGGATTTCAGGGTCTGAGGATTTTAAAGGGGATACTGGGCCAGGGAGAGGTGTTAATGAGGTACATGGTATACAGAGGGCTGACCAAGGCAGGTGATTGACAGAATCACATGATCTTACTGATGTGGGAAAGCTTAGATAATTTTATTTTATTTATTTATTTATTTATTTTTTGATAGGCAGAGTTAGACAGTGAGAGAGTGAGAGTGAGAGTGAGAGAGAGAAAGGTCTTCCTTCCGTTGGTTCACTCCCCTAATGGCAGCCACGGCCGGCGCTGCGCCGATCCAAAGCCAGGAGCCAGGTGCTTCCTCCAGGTCTCCCATGCAGGTGCGGGGCCCAAGCACTTGGGCCATTCTCCACTGCCTTCCCGGGCCACAGCGGAGAGCTAGACTGGAAGAGGAACAACCAGGACAGAATCTGGCACCCCAACAAGGACTAGAACCCGGGGTGCCGGCGCCACAGGCAGAGGATTAGCCAAGTGAGCCGCAGCGCTGGCCTCACTTAGATAATTTTAAATTCATGAGCTGGAAGCCACACCTCCTTTGCTCTGTGTTGCCATGTCCACCTACCTGTCAATCAGGGGACCCCTCCCCAGGAAGTACTTCCTCTTACCAGGGACATAGGGGTGGTACCCTGTAAATACTTCCATTTTTCTAGGCTCATAAAAAGCTAGGAAGAACGGAAGCTTTCTCTCTCTCTCCTCCATGTGGCCTCAGGATGAATAGAGCAGGGTATGAGAAGGCCCTTTCTTTGTCCCACTTTCCAGAAATAAAGCCCTAATGAGCCTGTGTATTTTTCTGGCTTTGTAAATAAAGTTTATCACACTGTATGCCATGTTTGGGTCTGTACTTAGGATTCTTCTCCAAGGAAAAGAGTCTGGAAAATTAATTTAGGCCCAGTCCAGCCCATAACATTACCATGTGTTCTAATGACCACTGCACCAAGATCTTCCCATCCAGAGGGCAGGACTGTTCCATTTTTAAGGAAATCTGAAAGTAATGACCAACACATTCCTGTTTGTATGGCCATTTTGGCATGGGAGAAGGAAAGGGAGAAAATGCCAGGAAAAAAAAGACGGCTCTCAGGAAAGAAACCAGAAATGGGGTAAAAAGCCGGAATGGGAAACTTGCCGCTGGCTGCTTCTCTGGGCAGCACACAGCAGAAGCAGCCAAGGCTCAGGGCCATGCGGAGCAGGGCCTCCAGACACTTACTCTTGCAGAAGCCCCCATCCTGGTAAAACGATGGCAAGCATTGCTCCATGCAGGCCCCGTCCTGGAGAACGTAGCCGTCCATGCACTGCAGGCAGTCTGTCCTCAGAGGCCCAGCGCACGCATTGCAACTCCAGTCACACTCTAGAAAGAGAGTCTGTGTTAGATCAGTTTCTTTCCTGTCTACACACAGTCTCAGTGTCTAATTTATGAAGACGCAGTCTGCAGCTGGCAGAGGGAAAATGAAGACCATGTCAAAGGTGGCAGATAAGCGAACTCCAAGCAGGCCTCTGCTTGTAGTGGCCTGAATACGTCTCTGGGGTTTAGTATTTCCTAATCATGTCAGACACGGACCTGGACAAGGAGCACTCCTTGCTTGTGCACAGCCAGATTTGTCAGCAGAGCGGCCTGCTGAGCAGCCAGGTCCACTTGGTCTGACTGTGTGGCCCCCAGAACTCCGTGACCCTGCGCCATGCTGAGTCTTCGCTGTAGGGAGTGGCCAGCTGGCCCCTCAGCCTTCACCCTCACCTCCCCCAAATGCTCAGAGGTCATGAGAGGTCAAACATGGAACTAAGACTGCATCTGCTGTCACCTCTGCCTGCAGCTGCAGGCTGTTCTGGTTCTCAAAAATCTGGTTTTGATCAAGACGACGGAAAGAACCAACACTGTTAGGGCTCAATGGGGCATGGAGGAACTGTCCAGAAAGAAAGGGATTTCTGCACCAACAGATTTCACCGAGAGCACCAGAAGACAAACACCCAAGGGATGTGTGTCATTAGAGGTGCTGGGTGGGGGGGACAGGGTGTAGACCCTGCCTTCCTGCCCACAGGGAGCTATATGTTGTGGTGGGGTCCAGCTTTGGCTGTGCATCCAAATAACCAGTGAGGATTGCTAGGAACACAGACCATCAGGCTCAACAGGACACCTGTTGAGCAGGAAAACACCTCATTGCTGTTGCTTCTTTCTTCGTTATGGTGATTGGTACAGATGTTGTGGCTGCTGCGTTCACAGGCAACTCCAATGCCATCAGAAGACTCCTGAGAGCAAACGTTCTAACTGGGAAGTCTTCATGTGTGCGGCACGGAACACGATGGCACGGATAAGCCCGTGGGTTGTGACGTGCAGCGAGGCAGTATTCAAGCCACGGTTTGGCCACTTTTTATCTTTATTATCCTTTCTTTAAATGTTTCAAACCTCTGTTTTCTTGTCTGTAAAGCAGGGATTAGAATAATACCCCTTTTGTAAGGCTATTGTGAGGAACAAAGGAAACAATGAAGGCGAACATTTATCGGAGGGCCACACATCAAGTCACAGCCCAGTAAACGAGCACAGCGACCAGGTTCTCTTAGAGAACAGACTTGCACTCGGGGCTGTCTCCATCCCACTTTCCTCTGTGTGCAGAAGCTGGGAAAAGCTCCCCTTAGTCACCTTCTCTCTGCCCTGATGCAATATTTCCAAGTCCTAGAGAAGCAGGTAAATGTGCAAGACAGCACACGTGCTTCCAAGAAGATTTATACAGTTAATCTCACTCCTTTATTGGCCTGAATCAATCCTGACGGGGAAAAGACTACAACAGAGCCTTGAAAACTGCCAACTTCGTTATGAAATCATGTACAACGCGGAGGATTTGTGATAATCTTGTTTTGCACCACACACTGACAGCCACTGGTTAGAAGGAAAAAAGAGCAGAAAGACTTCTGTGGTCTTGCCTACAGGGGACCACCGGAGGTGTTAACCATGCAGAATTCCTTGGAATGGAAAGGAGGCAGCTTTGCAGAGCCCTCAAGCAGCCCAGCTTGACTTGACAGATGTTTGACCTCCATATCTGAGCCCCAGCTTCTCGGGCAGAACCCGAGGAATGGAGGGAAACGTGGAAGGAAGCTGGGATAAAGAGGGGAAGTGGGGCAGGACCAAGTCAGACCTGTTCTTTCACTCGTTTACCCTAGGCTGTGCACTGCCACTCAGATTGTCAGCCCAAGAATTCCAACTACTGGGGGACGAGGGGAAAAAAACACCGGTTGTCTTGTTATTTTTTAAAAATTTTAAAAAGATTTATCTACTTGAAAGGCAATGTTAACACACAGAGAAGGAGAGATGGGGAGGAGGGAGAGCAAGGTGGGAGGGGGAGGGGGAGGGGGAGGGAGGGGGGGAGGGAGAGGGAGAGGAGAGGGAGTGGGAGAGGGAGAGGGAGAGGGAGAGGGAGAGGGAGAGGGAGAGGGAGAGGGAGAGGGATCTTCCATCTACCAATATGCTTCCCAAATGGTCACAATGGCCTGGGCCAGGCCAGGTCAAAGTCAGGAACTAGAAGCTCCATCTGGGTCTCCCATGTGGATGGCATGAGCCCTACAAAGCCCAGAGGGTAAGGTAATTCTTCAATAACGGTCTGGTAGATAGACTAGGGAATGGTGGGGATTGTAGTGAACTGAAGAGCTCACCTCCACCCAGCAAGGACAAGAGCTATGGGGCTCTAAGCTCAGCACTGTAGGAATACAAATCCAGTATGCCCACACCTTCTAATGCTTCCAAAAGAAGCTGCAAACCTCAGTTTTTGTAATCAAAGCCTTCTGGTTTATAATAGACAAAGATTTATAGCCCTGCACCACCAGGTGGGCCAAACAAAATATGTATATGAGCCAAGGACAACCTGAGGGTTTCCAGTTGGACACTTCTGGTCTAGTTACCAATATCTTGCTCAATGTTTGGCACATGGTCGCTCAAAAATGTTTGCAAAGGAATGTATGAATACACACACACACACATACATACATGCATAAATCTTGCTATGATCACAGAAAGCCGAAACACAGGGTGATGTGAAGTCCCAAAATGGGACACTGGATATCCACAGCAAGGGGACATCACAGAGCAAGGGAGTCCTCCTGTGATTCGGAAGAGCTGTACCTTTGCATGTCTTGGTGGTGATGTCCAGGTAGTACTGAGGGGCACAGCTCTCATACTGGCATTCCCCAAAGAGTAGCACCTTGCTGGGGTCTCGACAGGAGGTACAGCTGGCCTGTGAGTCACAGCTCCGACAATGCACGTCACATGCTGAGCACACAGGAAAGGAAAGTGACCAGGTGATTACAATTGTACTGATCAAACCTAGACAGGTGCTGTGCAGGGACAAAGCTGTGCTCCAACCTGTTCTTTAATTACAGCTCCTTACTCCGCCCAGGGATCAACAGAAACAGAAAATACCAGTCTTACTTTCCAAAACAACAAAGAACAATCTTATTTTCCAGATAGGATAGATTAGAAACCCAAGAATGGAAATCCCACACACACAATGCCCTGTGATTCCGCAACAGCATTTATATGTACTCTAAATTATTTCATTAAAGTCATTAATAAAAATATTGATCAAGTAAAAAGAATTAAGGTCTCGAATTAGTGTCCAGAATTTTATTTGAGCCTGACTTCATAAGGAATCAAGCTTCCTATAACTCCTGATGTAGATTTATATTTTTGCATGATGTCAGGATTAGTTAGGCACAAACTTTATTGCGTAGCTCTGCCAATTCTGTATTTTCAGATACAAAGGACTTTTAGGGGACCTGGTTTATTGATATGGCAAGTTGTCATTCTTAGCAGCCAGCTCCATAATTCAGGCTATAAGGATAGGCTCCCATTCCATCTTCCCCAAATTAACAACTGGCATTTTGCTATCTGCTCATTTGGGAAACTTTGGAGTCTGTTTTGACGTCTCCCTTTCTCTCACTCCTAACCCAGACACTGGATCCTATTCATTCAAACTCGCCAATGTAACTCAGCTTTCTGCTTTTCTCCATAGTCACAGATGCCAATATATTGGAGCTTTCCTCCTCCCCTGGTGGATTCCCATCATAGCCTCCTCCCTGGTTTCCTCAACCCTCTCTAAGCTCCTTGCAAATTATTTTCCGTGCATCCACCAGAGTGACTTTTTTATTCATACTGCTCAGGTTTCAGAGTACACTCTCATAAACACAATGTCTTTCTTCACTCTCAGAAGATTTCCAGCCATTCTTTCTATAAATATTGTTCCTCTGCCTTCCCTCTCTTCTCTCCTCCTGGAAATCCCAACACACATATTCAAATCTTCTTAACAGAATCTCCAAGTGTTTTGCTTTTCGCTCTCACTCTTCCGTCTGTCTCTTCTAGAAGGTCTTCACTGACTCTCTTTTCTAGAACAGGTCTCCCAGGTGCACATTCTTAGAGCACCTGTACACGTTTCTCATTTAAATGACAATTCCACATCTTTGTCTTTTAAGCTAGAAAAGTCCTGAAAGCAAAGATGCGATTTGTTTTGCTCCTGGCACAATTCCCCAGTGCCTCACTGGTTTTCTATCACATCGCAGGTGTTCAATAAACACTTGCTACATAAATGAAAGAAGCCAGATACAGTAGTACAAGTGTGTTTTTCTGCCTCATTCTAAACTCTTCTCTAAGGATGTGTCGGAGGAAAAATCTAGAGAGTAATCAAGTAAGTTTTAGATCTACAGGATATCAAAGTGTGTGGCACAGTGCAGGGGAACTGCCTCTCTGCAAAATTGAAGGATATAAAGTATTTCTGTTTCACTCACAAGGAAGCCATTGCTATAAGATATTCATTCAAGTAACTAGATTGGTAATTTAAAGCCCTAGGAAAATTCTAGATGGGGTTTTCAGTTGGGAATAATTAAAAAAGAATATTTTAACTGTTGGAAGCTTACATGAGACTAAACTTTTATCTTCCCCTCTTCTTTTTTTTTTCTTTGCTAGAATTTCCCTGTGTGCTGTACCTTCATTTTGGCAAAGGCATCTAACAAGGAGTCTAAAGATAACTTGGGAATACAAAAATAAAGGGGGGGCCCAGTAGTCCTAAGTGGATTTGAAGAAGGGTTGAAATGCGCATGCAAAGGGTCATCAGTAAATAGTTTTCCCTTTTGTTATTTAAAGAGTCAGAGTTCCCATCTGCTGGCTCTCTCCCCAAATGGGCACAGCAGCCCAAGCTGGGCCTGGCCAAAGCCAAGAACCGGGAATTCAATCTAGGTCTCCTATGTAGGTGACAGGGACCCAAGTCTTTGCACTTGCTGCTTCCCAGAGTGCCCACTAGCAGCAAGCGGGGAATGAAGCAGAACTTGGACTCAAACCCAGGCACCCAACCAAGGATACATGCATCTTAATCACTAGGCCAAACACCCCTCCTACTCAATCTACTTAATAGGCAAAAGAAAGGTCCTTAATACAAAAAATTGATGTCCTTAGTAGAGTATTACAATAATTAAACCTTGATTTTTTACTTTATCAGTATTTTATTAATGACTTTAATGAAGACCAAGAAATCATGCCAGCGATACTTAAATATGCCACAGACACCTACACAGTGGTTGCATCTCACCATCTGCAGAACAGTTCTGTTACCTTCACCAGCGAAAACAATAACCTTCAAGTCATCCAGGAAATTAAGCCAGGCTGTAAGTACAATGCTGCAATTGTGTTCTCAAAGCAACCGCACAAGCACGGGACGGGGAGGATCTGCCTAGACACCAGTTCCCATGGGAACTAAATCCATGCCATTTAGTCAACTTAAGGCTTCGTAGTCACTACCGATGTGATGAGGTTCCTGAATCTGGGAACTCTGTCTTAAGCTGCAACCTCAGGGTCACGAGGAGCTGGGCCTCCCAGCTGGGCTTCCCCGTGGGGCTCCAAGGCCAGTGCCTCAGCTGGGGCTGAGAGGCCCATGCCTCGGCCTGACGTGGGAGGCCTGGCCAGGGTTGACTCCTCGAGCTGCTGTCTGTTTCTCTGTTCCTGAATGTTCCTTTGCTGCCTTTCATTCCTCCCGGTACCTTGAACGTGGACCTGAGGCCCATCACTGGCTCCATGGAGCAGTGGATTCACCCTGGGCACTGGGAAATGCTGAAGAGTTCATGCAGACTGTGCAGGGATGCAGTGGGGCCACGCTGAGGAGCCGGTGCTGTCCACCGTTTCTGCCTTCACTCCCTTCTCAGTCCCTTCCACGACGACCCTGCCTCACACTGGGCCGTTCTGCCCACACCAGAGCACTGTGGCTCCACGGCTTCCATCTCCTAAGGACGGGCGGTGAAGAAGCACTTCCTCCGACTTTGTCAATTCAGACCCCACACAGTATCAGGCCCGGCGTAACCATGAGCATTCCTGGTTCTCTGAGGTCACCGGAGAGTTCCAGAAAGAAAGAGAAGAATGTGGCGAGTGGGCCAGAAACCTGCGAGGGAGCTAGGCCATGGGGTGGGGTATAACCATCATTTGTGGAGGAGCCTGGGGCGTCCGCATGTGGAGTTCACTCTCTTTTCACACAGACTTATTTGCTGCTGTAGATTGAAAGACGGTCACCAGCGTCTCCTTAAAGCCCCCGCTCCTGATCCTGCCTGCAGCAGACGGCCAAGTAGGAAATGACTGTTAAATTCAAACTCGGGAAAATAATCACACGAAGGAGTGAGGAGACTGACTTTACACTGCTCCGGGGAGAAGTTCTAGGGCCATTGAGCTGGAGCTATCCAACCACGGAAGTGGCTTCCTTCCTCCACAGGGGGGTTTGTTGAAGCAGGAGAAAAAATCTCTGCCTTGGGTGTAAGAGTGCGCTGGGTGCAGCTGGCATTGTGGTACAGCAGGTTAAGCAGCCGCCTGCGATGCTGGCCTCCCACATGAGCACCAGCAAGGGTTTGAGTCCTGGTCACACCACTTGCAGGAAAAGCAGCAAAGGATGGTCCAAGTCCTTGGGCCCCTGCCACCCATGCAGGAGACCTGGATGGAGCTCCATCTCCTAACTTCAGCCTGGTCCAGCCCTGGCCATTGCAGTCACTTGGGGGGCGGGTGGTGAACCAGCAAATGAAAAAGTCTGTGTGTGTGTGTGTGTGTGTGTGTCTCTCTCTCTCTCTCTCTCTCTCTCTCTCTCTCTATATATATATATATATATAACTCTGCCTTTCAAATATTAATAAAATAAACTCTTTAGAAAGATTGGGCTGGATAACCCCACAGTTCTCTTTCAACTCCAAAACCCTGTGTTTCAAGTCCTAAGAGCTCTATTTTTCATCACCCTTTAAAGTTCCTACCTCAACTACCACCCTTACATTTTAGAGCTCAGTTAATAGCAACACTTCCTAAAGATTTTTGTAACTAGAATTCTGCTCCTTGTGTTCTTCAACAAAATGATTATCAATACATTTCTTAAGATGGACTGCATTTCCTCAACTACCCTTTGCTACACACTTTCTAAAACTGGCATGCCTGTAATTGTCTATGATGGTGAACATTAGAAGGGGCATTGTGGATTTTTAAAAAGAGTTTATTTTATTTATTTGAAAGAGTTACACACACACACACACACACACACACACACACAGGGAAAGACAGAGACACAAAGAAAGGTCTTCTGTCTGCTGGTTTACTACCCAAATGGGCACAGCAGCCAGGGCTGGGCTAGGCTGAAGCCAGGAGCTGGAGCTTCTTCCAGGTCTCCCACATGAATGCAGGGGCCAAAGCACTTGGGCCATCTTCTGCTGCTTTCCCAGGGGCTAATATTAGCAGGGAGCTGGATTGGACATGGAGCAGCTGGCACTGCAGGCTGCAGCTTAATCCACTATGCCACAAAGCCTGCCACATGGATTTCTTAAAAATAGCAGAAACTCAAATATCCCAACTTAGGGGCATACTTTAGTCAGTGTTAGAGTGAAACTTCAGGACAAAAGTTAGGAGACTGTGACTTCCATTGCAATGATCTCTGAAATCCTAGTCACATGGCAGCATCACAAAAGTGCCCCTGCAGAGGCCGCACTGCAAGACCAAGGCTTCCCAGAAGGGAAATATTTCAATGCAACGTATTTTTTGTCGCCTACACTTCATACAAGGAATTCTATTTCTTTCTTTTGAACTTTTATTTCTCTGATTCCACTGCTGTGAAGAGCCTCATAAATCTAAGTCCCTAGTTTTCCACCGACACTCTCTTGCTCTGGAATAGGAGATGCAAGTATTTCATCCTTGTCTCTTGTATCACAGAAGCTACAGATGCTGGCAGACAGCTGATATACATCCAGCAAAGTTTTTGTTGCAAAAGTAAAGAAATCTTCCCCACTGGTCCAAAATTGATTTATATCTTTGGTCTCTCAGCAAAAGAGGAAGAAGTGGGAGTTCCATACAACTTCATTTCCAATCAAATCCTTGCAAACATCTCAGTGAATGCACAGTAGGAGCTTTGCATCTATAAAATATAAATATCTTCCATTGTTTCATTTGCCTCTCAGTCCTGATGATGCTGGTGACCAGGACAGCAGTGAATCTGTATGAGACCTTATGCTCTGCTAGGCTGTGTGCAGTTCAACAAGAGGACGTCAGTACTATTACAACTGCCTTCTACAGAGAAAGAGACTGAGATCCACTGGTTAACTAACTTGCTCAAAGTCATACAGCTGGCAAGTGGCAATTAGGATTTGAACTTTAGCCCCCTACTCTAAATCTATAGCTTTCTCTCCTAATCACTGCCCTATAACTCCTTCAACATGGTCCTTCCGAGAACATAAAACTGAAATACCACTGCAAGTGCTAGCTGTCACTCATTTTCAAAAGTGTAACTTTTTTTTTTTTCGGCAAGTGACACTTCAGTGATTGAAATAAAGTGAGCCCCTACGGTCTATCACGAATATTCCTGCATGTGTGAAGAATTTTCTAACTTTTTTCCCAGCTAGATTTTCTCTTCCCTAATTTTTCTTAATTCTTTGTTTGTGTCAGATTCAGGGTAACTCATCACATTCTGATTTCTTTGAGAAATAGGACACCTACACAAGTAACTTTTGTGCAAGATGAAATACTGTTTGGGCAGAAATTGAAGGCCTTGTAGCATACATATGGAGCCTGGCACAATGTCAAAATTCAACAAATACTTGGAGAAAACATTAAATTCGGAGAAATGCTTAGTCTAGTCTCTGCCCGGGATCACAGAATTGGATTGGTGAAAGGAATCAAAAAGATGAAACAGATAATACTTTCAATTTTTAAATGAGATAACTGAACTGAGAAGTGAAATAACCTGCCCAAGATCTCACAGCTGATACTGCCAGGGGAGACCTCGGGACTCTGCCATCTGAGCTATAATCTGCAAATGGCAATTTGTAAATTAGTTCTCTTCCTGTTATAAAAACAAAGGCTACCAGGTGAGAAGATGGATGCAAGCACATTGCACATCTTTCAATAACCCCACAAGGGCAGAAAAGGAGAGAAAGTTCATTGAGAGAACCTACGCTGGCAAGCACGGTTGTCATCGAGATAATGTCCAGGGAAGCAGGTGGCGCTGCAGGTGCCAATGTGGGACAGGACGAGGTTGTTGTCACACGAGGAGCAGGAGAAAGGCCCTCCGCCCTGGCAGGTTCTGCAGGAGGAGTGGCATCCTGTAGAGGGAAAAGGCACACGGACACTATGAAGCCAGACTTCCTTCCCAAGAAGCACCCCAAGAGCCACCATGGAACCCCAACACTGAGACCATCCCATGCTCTGGTTTCTAGGTGCAGGGTGTGCATCTTGCCTCCTCTTCCTCTTTGGGAAGTCCGATCTTTCTCAGCTGCTGCCCCAAAGAGAATATCAGAAGGCACCTCTGGCTGCTGAGTCAGCACTTACTCACTTGTACAAGCTCCTTTCTCTGCATAGTATCCTGAAGGGCACTGAGGGACGCAGTGGTCCCCGAGTAGCAGGTGGCGGGCGTTCTGGCAGGCCAGGCAGATGCTCCCGGGGCTGTGGAGATCCGCGACACAGTGCTGGCACAGAGGGTGGCAGTCTGCAAAGGCAAGGTGGGAGAGAGAAGGTGTGGGTGGATGCTCATGAGCACAAGGTTTAATCGCCGCGCTGAAGGGCAGGAGGGATTTTCATGACCAACACTGCAGCACAGGAGCAGGGGGGTGGCCCAGAGGCAGTGTGGGTGGGGGAAGCAGAAGCGTGTGACCCGTACACACTGTGTATTTGAGGTGCACGGCGGTTGAGTTTTTAATCCCTTTCCAATTGAATGGCCTTCAATTCAAGCTCGAGGGTGCCGTGTCACAGATACCTTTGAGGGCTACAGAGAGAACTACCAGACCAGTGGAAACAGTGAGATCAATACTACCACTGTCTCCCTCCCGGGGCTCCAGGAACCCTGAGCCCTCCGAGTGGCTCCTTCTCACAGATTTGGGCTCTCAGTCAGCCTACCGGTCTCAGCCTTCAGTGTGGAGGGGTTGTGCTTAGCAGCAAATCGGGAGGAGTTGGTGGAAAATTGCAGTCTTAACTAGAGGTAAAGTGACGGTTGTAAAGTCATTTTTATGACACAAGACAGTCCACAGCAGCTCCATCAGCCCAGCTGCCTGAAAGCTATGGAACAAATTACCCTATAGAGCCAACCCTGCATCTTGTTCTCACTCATCTAATAGTCATCCTTCAATAAAGAATTTAAGTTGGGGTTCGTTGTCTGTGAAAACTTCCTCCTCCCTGCTTTCTAGCAGTATCTCCCCTTCAAGTCCCATTTACATGCTTCATCCCAAAGGCAGAAGAAAATCTACAAATCTTGAATTGCCTGGCAAAACAAAAATAGAGTAAAGACCTAGGAAAAGAAAGAGTTCTGGCTATAGGGCTGTTCTAGCTTCCCCTGTGAGGTTCAAACACCTGTTTACATTGTATGATGTATGACTCATGGCTCAGAAATGTTTTGTTGAGTCTTGAGGTCTTGTAATAGAGACTGGTTTCTAGAGAGATTTTCACCAGAAACCGTTCATGTCAGTACAACCGACTGCCTGCCCTTGAAGACTATTAGGTGGGTTTTTCTCTCTACATTGTGTGATGTGTTCTTCATTGCCGGTCATCTGGATGTGCCCCGTGTACAAGAAGCAGGTCTCACACCCACTTCTAGTGCCCACTCATCCACTTGAGAACACTTTCTAGGGCCTTGATGGCCACCCCCCAACAGTAGGCCAAAATTATCCTCAAAAAATGCAGATTCTACACAGAAACATGTTTCTGTGTAGGAGCAAACTGTTGAAATCCTTACTTAAGGTATACTAAGCTGATCTTCTGTATATTAAGACAATCGAAAATGAATCTTGATGTGAATGGAAGGGGAGAGGGAGTGGGAAAGGGGAGGGTTGTGGGTGGGAGGGACGGTATGGGGGGGGAAGCCATTGTAACCCATGAGTCGTACTTTGGAAATTTATATTCATTAAATAAAAGATAAAAAAAAAATAAAGCATCATTGCTTGTTGAAAAAAAAAATGCAGATTCTTCTAGCAGCACACAAACTAATAGCCACCCGACCTTTCTCTGAACCGTGTTGGTTTCAAATTACAAGCAGCCTTTTGCTGATGTTAAGAACAATTCATGATATCCTAACAACCAAATTAATGCTCATTACAGCTTTTCAGTAAATTATAAAGGAAATGATGACTGTATTGAAGGAAATCTGATAAGGAGGCTATTTCCTCCTGCCTTGGTATACAGTTCCCACACAATGAAAGCATTGTGGTCTCTCTTCCTGCGCCCTCCTTACACTGCCAAGAGCATAATCCTAGGTGTGCAAAGAGAAACTCAGAAACCTTCAAAATGTTGCTAGAGCAAATGAAAGTGATAGCGCTCTCTGATTAGCTTACGGAGTGGGTCAATTGTGGGACTGGAAGCCCAGGAAACAGTACTGATCCAGTGCTCCATTGTGGAAGAGCCATGGGTCCTTCCTCCTGAAAGCGAGTGCAGACAGAGCATCCTGGGCACAGGCATGTATCAACAAGATGCGCAGGTGTTCTGCAGTCTAAAGACCAGTTGTGTCCAACTGAAGCTTTCTCTACTGTGCAATTAGAGAAATGAGAACGCTTTGAAGAAAAAGTAAGCAGATATCTGCAGTATTTTGTAGGTATAATAAATAAGTGTTTATGGATTTGTCTGATCTTGGGGCACTCTAGAAGCCGTTGAAACAAGGGAGGGTGAAGTGCAGTAATTACTTCTACAGGAAGTTGGAGCCAGGTCACAGACATTCCTGCCTTGGCCCCAGTGGGTGGTCTGAACTGAAACCTGGGCCACTCTTCTCCTTGCCTACCCTTTCATGTCTTCCCAGCCCATTAAGCATGAGCACCTTGGATTCACTCCTCTCAACCTCAAAACATCTATCTTTGCCCATTTTTACCTCCCATTGAGGTGTGCAAAGGGAAATTCAACCATTTCCTTGACGAAACGCCTAACCCCCCCACTGACATTTTGGGTCCTGTTGTCAACATTATACTACCCTTCCACCACCTCTCTCTCCTCCATGTCCTCGGCCTAAGCCTCCAAACATGCTTCGAACCACCTCTTGGCCCCAAGATTTTCTCTACACACACCTGATCTCTTGTCTACCTTTCACCACCCAACTCCTTTCCCTTTCCAACTTCCAACCTCCTTGAAATCTGCCTTCATCCTGCACAATTCTGCTGTGGCATTGCTCCTGAAAAGGTCTCTGATACACAAATTCTGTGGCTTCCTCTAATTTTCCCTACCTGAAATCTACAACGTGGCACTTCTCTCAGCCTTCTGCTTGAAACCCTGTCTCCCCTTTAGCATGGTTTGCCTGGTGGCCCCTTGTGGCTAGTCCTCTTTTCTGATCTCTGACTAATGAATGATGGGATTCCTTATAGCTTTCATTTTTTTCTATCCTCCTACCTAAGGTTTTGAAGGTCTGAAACCAGACCTGGTTTGTTCAGATCAGAAGCTCATGGAAAAAGCTCAATGTGGGCAATGCCCTGAGGTCATTCCGGGCCTCTGCCTCCTTCCATTCCTCCACATTACGCCTCCAGAAGGCATCAGATCAATCCCCAGACATACCATATTCCATGATAAAGTGAGTACCCAGAGGAACAAGAGAAATCAATAAATGATACCCAAAAATATAAAACTCCCACTTGCAGAGTTGCCCAAAGCATCCCATTAGACCAAATCAATTTATATTTCCACTTTACACAGGAGATTGTTAACTGCTCAAGTTTGGAAAATTGGATAGCTAAGTGATTTTGTTCACTGTTGTATTCATTGTATGGTTTAAAAAGTCATACTGAATGCTCAATCATATGAATAAATTCATAACAAAACAACAACCTGAGTGAGTCCATTCATGTAACCCTCCTACCCTGCTCTGTCACCTACAAGTCCCCAACAAGACCACTTAAATCAGCATGTCTGAAATCCTGCTCTGAAGGGTGGTTGACTGATTTTTATTAAACCAACCCAAAAAAGAATAATAAATTCCTAAAACCTAGAACACACCTTTGTCTTTAGAGACTCAAAGCCAAAATCTCTTTGTAGAAGAGAATTCCTTGGGAGACTTCAAAATGATTGATGATGTGTGGGGAAAGAAGACAGAAATCAGAGCAATGAGAGCTTGTGGATTAATACCAATGTTCTGGCTTCCAGTCAGAAAAGTACAGCTCCCTAGGGCAGACTACAGAACTCAGGCACGGCCAGCTCCAAGTGGCCAGCCCTCCAGGCACCACCTGCAAGCAGGCTCCATGCTCATCCTGGGGGGAGTCCGGGGGTGGGTACTGCGATCTGCCCGGAAGAGGAGATGGATGGAGCTCAAACAGGGACCTTAAGGCTGTATTTTTCAAACTACAAAGTAAGCCATGGAAGGAATAAGAAACGCAACTTTACAAAAATATAAATATGTATAAAGTCATGTTCAGAAAGCCTTTCAGATTCAGGAACTACTAACACTGACATGTTTTTCTTGTAGTTACTTCTTTTTAAAAATGTTTTAAAGAATTATTTACTTGAAAGTCAGAGTTACAGAGAAAAAGGGAGAGAGATTCACTTTCCAGACAGCCCCAATAGCTGGGGCTGGGCCAGGTAGAAAACAGGAGCTATTGGGTTATCATCAACTGCCTTTCCCAGGCAATTCTCAGGGAGTCAGACTGGAAGCAGAGCAGCTGGGACATGAACCAGCACCCATATGGGATGCTGGCGTTGCAGGCAGTAGCTCTACCTGCTATGCCATAATGCTGGCCCCCTTTTAGCTATTTCTATTTGCAGTTCTACATACCAAGATTTTTACATAGATGAGGTCATATTAAATGTAAGCACACATAATGTATTTTTTACTTAATACTATCTGCATTCCCATATTTCATTGGGGATTCCTTGTAATGATATTTTTTGGAGTAATATAATATTCCAGAATAGGTAAACAAAACATTGCTATTTTTTTCCCTTAGAGTTTGAATATTTATTTCCAAGCTGTTTCCACTTTTGTAAAATATTGATGAATCAGTATTCGTCTTCATTCCAGGATACTGTATGAGAGAAAATATTGAAGGAATGTAATTCATATTACTGTTATATTTATTGGGCTCAGCATACATGAGGCATATGCATTACACAGAACTGCAAAATCTCATTCAAAGAGATGTAGTAGGCAATCTCATTAACCCCATTTAATAAATAAGGAAACGGAGATTCTGAGAGTTTAAGCTGTTCGCTTACAAACAACATATCTAGACTGACTCTGGACCATACATTTTATTTATTTATTTATTTATTTATTTATTTATTTATTTATTTATTTTGGACAGGCAGAGTGGACAGTGAGAGAGAGAGAGACAGAGAGAAAGGTCTTCCTTTTTGCAGTTGGTTCACCCTCCAATGGCCGCCGCGGCCAGCACGCTGTGGCTGGCGATCGCGCTGATCTGAAGCCAGGAGCCAGGTACTTATCCTGGTCTCCCATGGGGTACAGGGCCCAAGTACTTGGGCCATCCTCCACTGCACTCCCAGGCCATAGCAGAGAGCTGGCCTGGAAGA